AGATGAGGCTTTCTACTCCCATAAAGATTTACACCCTCGGAAACCCTGTACAGGGTCGCTATGGGTCGGAACCGACTCGACGGCACTTAACAACAACAAATCTTATTAAAATGAAAATAGATTTTGTAAACTGAAGTGATATGAAAAGTTAATTTAAATGACTAGAAGAATACCAAGAGCATAAGTTGCTTTTACTTACGGTTTATAGTTCTGACTGGTAATATTGGGTTTACTCTCTCTGGGGAGGCAGCATTTTCTTCATCCGTCACATATTCAAAGTTAATGATGAACATCATAGCCACACCCTCTTGGTTTTTCACTGGAATTATGTGAGTATTACAAATGAAAGTAGACCCTAGGGGATGAAAAAATGATAGTTAGCTCAAAAATTTGTCTTCAATTTGTAGTGTTAGCAATTTGATAGTTGTAATAAATTCCTACAGTCTTTTATCATAATCACTGATATTCATTAAAAATCCATTTGATTTTGAGTTCGTATTTTATTGTTGTTGTTGTTAAGTACTGTTGTACACACATTTATTTTCAATATGCACAGATTTTGCCAGAAAATTTTTATAAACAAACTCAGGTACTGCCTTGTGAAAAAAATAGAATATTAAATTCCATTTGCTTTCATGTCCATCACCTGTACTCATTAACATATGGGAGGATTACTCACATAATCTTTAATTTTCTAGAAAAGTTCAGCTTTTCCTCATATATTTTTAATTAAAATTTTTTCTATTTAAAATATAGCATTAAGATAATATAACTCATTTGGTGTTATCTTGATTTTATCATTAAACAACTTGTGCCCTTTTTCTACTTTGATCTCTTGAACATAAAACAGCAAATTATTGACCCTGTCTGTAGTTAAAATCATTTTCTTTTTTGTGAAAAATTTACAATGTACACAATACTCTCTGTCCATAATTTTCTCTGACTTTATACCTGTTAGCAAACAAACCCCCACAATTTTGTCTATACTATTGTTTACATTTGACCCAGTCAACCAAGAAGATAATATTCTTTGAAACTAAAATTAAAGAGATATTAGCATCTATTTTGTTAGCATCATCTGGAAATAAACTGAATGACATAGTTTAGAATCAACTACCACCACCCACCTTCCAAAAGAAACTACAGGGTCCAAGATTTAGAGACTTTAGGAGTTGAGAAGATGAAGAAGTTGTGAGAACTGAACAACTGAAAGGTGTCTCTTTGGAACTGACTTCTAGAAATGGGTATTCCCCCATGCAGTTTCCTCACACGCTTACATTTTGAATTTTTTTTCCCCCTAAATTACTGTGATAGTAGCCTCTCACCTCAGAGATTTATTTGTGTTCAAAAGATTGTATTAATAGAATGCAAAAATTTTAGGGAGGGTTCTCAGTCATTCAGGTGATGATGCATATTTTGAATGCCTAGTTGAGACAATCTTGACTTTTGAGTAGACTGGCAGGCTGAAAGCAAGGTTGGACTGGTGTGAAACTGTACAGGGAGCTATGGGGAAATGTTATTGTTGAATACCGTAGAGTCGGTTCTGACTCATAGTGACCCTGCATAGGGTTCCCAAGGCTGTAAATCTTTATGGGAGCAGAACGCCTCATCTTTCTCCCATGGAACTGCTGGTAGTTTCGAACTGCCGACCTTCAGGTTAGCAGCCCGATTCATAATTGGAAAATAGGTTCACCAGGGAATCCAAAGGTATGCAAAGCCAAGTGGAGGCTAGTATTTCAAACTTTTATCATGTGGAAGTTCTGACAATTTTATAAATGTAGGCAAACTCTTCCTTTCTCTTTCCTGAAACATAGCTCCTGATAACAGACCTGAGAACAAAGGATATGCTAATTTCGCTATAAACCTGAGGATATCTCAAATTGAATGGGATTTGAGGGAGGGCTTGATGATCTGATTTTGTATAATATTTTTCTATAGGGTAATGTGTTTCACATTTCAAGGAACAGATTTATAAATACATTTGTATAACATAAGACTGTAAGTTGAATATGACTATGTGCTAATTATGACTTGAGTGTTCAATGTAGATAACTTCACAAATTGGAGATTTAAAGCATCTAATTTATAACATGGAGTTTTGGTATGACACTTCAGGATCATACTGCTAACCACCAGCCTCTTCTCAGAAATCCTGTACAGGTTTACTATGAGTTGGAACCGATTAGACGACACTTAACAACAAAAATCACCATTTATAACATATTTCTAGAAATGTGGTCATGGCTTTACAGATGTTGGAAAAATATGCCATAATAACATACTGAACCTTTCCAATCTTCAGCTATATCTTCAATCCACTTAATAAAATAGTTAGCTGGAGCACTTGTCATAGTTTCCATGGTAACAAACAGGATGACTTTAGTAAACAGAAATAAACAATTTAAGACTGTTCCATTAGAACTAAAAATAGAAGTGCTTTAGGCCAGGCATTGCAATACACTGGCTAACCAGAGATGCCAGAAATAGCCATTATGTACTTGGCTAATGAACCAAAATACATATTGATTTTACCACTTAAAATGACATTTCTTGGATCATTTAGAATATCATGAATTCACAGATTTGTTACTTAGCATCTTTGAATATTTCCACATTTGGGGTATACTACTGATTGTGCAAGGAGCTCTGGTAGTGTAGTGGTTACAAATTGGGCTGTGAACCTTAAGGTCAGCAGTTTGAAACTACCAGCTTTTCAGTGGGGGAAAGATGAGGCTTTCTGCTCCCATAAAGATGTACATCCTTGGAAATCCTGTGCAGGGTCACTATGAGTCGAAACTGACTCCATGGCCCATAACAACAACAACAACAACTGATTGTAAAATAACACAGTAAACACAGATTTTGAGAAATCAAAAAAATAAGATATGTAGGGATAATAATCTAATAGGTTTGTAGTAGAGCAATTTTGCTTTTGTATATGAGGGGAAAAATCATGTCTTTCAGCACTAATGCTTGTAAATGTACTGCCTAACACTAGAAATCAGAATATTAGGTTAAAGCTTAGCTATATGCATTGGTTTCATAGCATACTGAGTAAGTATTATTGATTTGGGATTTATTCCCCACTGTCATTATTTCCTGCATGTATCTGTTAAGCAGTTTCTCCTCCAGGGAAGATGAGACTTTCTGCTACTGTAAGGAACCTTATACAGGGTTGATATGAGTCACAATCAACTCAAAGATACACCACCACCACCACTAACTCAATGTCACCTAACAACAACAACAACAACAACAACAACAAAGCTCTTCAATGGAGTCCTGGTGTGGTGCTGTAGGATAAACATGAGTCAGACCTGACTCACGACACTTAATAACACAAAAACAAAGCTCCTCAACAGGACCTACATGAGCAAAGTTCAAAAACATGAACTATTATTTTGCCTAATGTTGGAGAGTTTCAGGATGGGAATGTTAACTCTTAAGTTCTCTTTGTAGTTTTTTCCAGCCCTTCAGCATTCTCCGAACCATGAGCTAAAACCATGTTTCTATGCTGGGTCACCAACTATAGATTATTTTCCTCTGAGCTCACTGGTTTAGTGAGTGCCTGACAGTTTTTATTCTTTTCTTTCCATGAGACTAGATTCTTTGAATATGAAACAATAGCATTCTAAATAATTCCCTAGAATAAAAACAAAACATAGCAACTTCAGGAAACAAAGGATCCAACAAAAAGGCAGCCTCATTTCATCTTGAATTGAAAGACCAACTAGAAAAGCAACATGCATTCTAAAGCCTCCTAGAAGGAGAAAGCTATGCAAATGACTTAACACTTTTGTGACCCATTGGACATATAGTGTCCATCTACATTTTTGCCACCGGGGTTACATATGAAGATGCTATCCTACTTTCGGTGCCTGCTGCCATTGGATGGATCTGAATAAACTGCATTCCTCATTGCACCAACCCCAACAACAGAGATTTCCTTGGGTATGTGTCCCGCTAATGACATCAAAATGCATATTGTTGTTGTTGTTAAGTGCCATCGAGTCTATTCCTACCTATAGCAACACTGTATAGGGTTTCTGAGGAGCAGCTGGTGATTTTGAACCACAGACCTTGCAGTTCAAGCGGCTTTGCATTCTGGCACATTAACCCACAGTGCCAAACCCACACCCCCAATATAATTTCATTTAAAGTGTCTTCCATTAACAATAACACATGGTTTCAACAAAATACCCAAAGTATAAAAATAATTCCATCTTGAAAGTATTATGATGGGGTAGACAGAGGGAAACATAAGTGAGAAACAAGCAGAATTTGTATTGGGCTTCTCTGCATCTAATGCTTCTCTTTGTTTCTTTCTTTCAGTACCTCTTCTACCTTCTTATACACTCTCTAGGGAGTCAAGGTAGGTTATTATGAACTTACTTCTATTAAGGAGGTGAAACAAAACTAGGTGCCATCTAGTCAATCCCAGTTCATAGTGACCCACGTGTGCTAGTACAACAGAGGGTTCTTTCAAATTTAGGTTGTTGTTGTTAGGTGCCATTTAGTTGATTCTGACTCATAGCAACCAACAGGACAAAACACTAACCATTCCTGTACTAGCCTCGCCATTTTTGTTAGGCTTCAGCCCTTTGCTGTTGCCACTTTGCCAATCCATTTCATTGGGGTTTTTTCTTATTTTTCCCTGACCCTTTACTATATCAAGCATGATGTCCTTTTCCAGGGATTGGTCTGTCCTGATAACATGTCTGCAGTGTGAGAGACAAAGTCTGGCCATCCTGGCTTCCAAAGAACATTCTGGCTGTGCCCCTTCCAACATAGATTTGTTTGCTCTTCTGGCGGTCCTTCTCCAAAACTGTAATTCAAAGGCAAAGATTCTTCTATAGTCTTCCTTATTCATTGTTCAACTTTCATAGGTATGTGAGGAGATTGGCAATTCCATGGCTTGAGTCATATAAACCTTAGTCCTCAAACTGATATATTTGCTCTTTAATACTTTAAAGAGGTCTTTTGTAGCAGATCTGCTTAATTCAAGCTCTCTGACCACCTCCCCCCCCCCCCCCCCGCAAATAAAGCATCACACAGGCATCAACTCTAATGGGAATGCAAGAAAAATATTTGCTTAATTAATAATGACCATTTTTGCTTCTTGAAGGTGAACTAGTTAATGAAAAGCTGTCTGTAGGTGATGACTCTCTAGCCTAAGTAAAGCAAGATTTGTGACTGTGGTAGTTAGCAGCCTGAAGTCTTAAGATCGATTACAACATGAGAAGGAGACTTGGGTTATAAACTAACATTTTTTTTTTAGCTTTTCTGAACCCCGCCCACCTCTTAATCCATAGATTCCAGGCAATTGTATCTATCTTTTAAAGTTTGAGCAGTAAC